CCTGGACTTCCCAAGTCTCCCCGCTGTTGCACTCCCCTTCGAGCACTTGCGCGCAGACCCTGCAGCTTGCGCAGTCAGGCCCGCGGCTCGCTTCCGCGCTCAGTCCCGCGGCTCGGTCCTGCGGTTCGGCTTTCGCGCGCGGTGGGCGACCTTGTTCTCCCAGTAGGTCCTCCGATTCACGCCCACTGGATCCAGAAGAGTTTTGTCTGCAATATTTTCCTGGTTCTTTTTTCTGAGGCTACCGTAACTCCCCTTTTATTAAACTAAATTTTCCCGGACTATCGGTGCGCGCCCTCACTATTCCGCCATCTTGGCTCCGCCTATGTCACTGATGTTGAAATTTTAGTAAGAGATCAATAAATGAAAAAACTAATAAATTATGTTCTTGACAAAAGTTTCCAGCATGGGTCTTCAAGATTCCAAAACTTTAGAACTATCCCTTCCTTCTTCCCTCCCTTCCTTCCTCTCCTCCTCCCTCCCTCCCTCCCTTCCTTCCTTCCTTCCTTGCATCCTTCCATCCTTCCTTCCTCCCTCCATATTTTCCTTACTTCTTTCCTTCTTTCTTGAAAAACTTACATTCCCAAATATGATTCATGGTAAGGATGCACAGGCTAATTTAAAACATCAAATATTCTCCCTGAGCTAAATTTCCACTAACTTTATGCCTGTAATAATATAAATAGTTCTGGAGCCAGCACTGTAGCATAGTAGGTGAAGCCTCTACCTGTGGTGCCAAAAAATCATATAGGTGCCAATGATACCTGGAAGAAGCCCTGGCTACTGGCTTCAGATGGGCCCAGCTCTGGCCACTGTGGTCATCTGGGGAGTGACCCAGCAGATGGAAGATCTCTTGCTCTTTCTCTCCCTCTCTCTGTCTGTAACTCTGCCTCTCAAATAAATAAATCTTTACAAAATAATATAAATACTGCTCAAAAGTTTAAATTTTCTCAGAAGGGCACTAAAAACATCATATGCATTATCCCACTAAGTCTTCAAGAATGTATACTAGAAGGATATGGTATTATTGTGGCCTTTTAGTGATGAACATCCCAATTGTTTTGAATAGTTTGGGAAGAATTGAAGATAGTTCTTCTTTAAAAGTTTGATAGAACACAGCAGTAAAGCCATCTGGTCCTGAGCTTTTCTTTATGGCGGGGGGGGGGGGGACATCTTTCTTACTGTTTCAATTTCCATTTTGGTCGTTGTTCTGTTTAGGTTTTCTATGTCTTCAGACTCAATTTGGTAGATTGTAAGTATCCAGAAATCTATCCATTTCTTCTAAATTCTTCAAATTTTCTAATTTGGTGGCATTTAGCTGTTTGTAGTAATTCCCAATGATTATGTTTATTTCTGTGATATCCATTGTTACATCTCCTTTTCTAGCTCTGATTTTATTGATTTGGGTCTTTTCCATTTTTCTTGTTTTTGTTTTTTATTAGTTGGGCCAATGGTGTATCAATTTTGCTGATTTTTTTTAAACAACCAGCTCTTCATTTCACTGATCGTTTATATCATTCTTTTGGTTTCAATTTTGCTTATTTCTTCTCTAATTTTAATTATTTCTTTTCTCCTATTGATTTGGCTTTGGTTTGCTCTTATAAAACTACCTTTTAACACTATTTTTATTAAAAAAAAAAAAAGAATACTTGAAATTATTGTGTGACAAGTATCTTGGCTAGCTCTCCCCACTACCACCATTAAATGAAAATAAAAAGAATAAACCTGTGATACATAGTAAAATTTAAAGCACTATTCTATTTTCTGCAGGTTGATATTCTCAATAATTGTACTCAGCAGAAGCAGGAACAACCTAATCATACTTTCACTTTTGCCCTCATAATTATCTTAACTGAATTGAAATCTGGTGTGTTTATAGTCCCAGCACCATCATTAAGCTAAAAATTGAGCATTCTGTCTTACCCTGAAAAAATTCCAATTAAGCCCATTTGGAGATCTGCACCGAATGCCAGCACTAATTCCTTTCTATAAAGATCAAGAGTGCCAGGATGTCACACTACAGAGAGGTCCATAGTCAGCTCATTAGCAAGATTGATGAACTCGAATAGTAGTTCCTACTGATGTGAGCATCTCAATATGAACTAAAGTCACATCCTAGGAGACTGCATGATAACTCAGGGAGGTCATCTCTCATTAAAACCACGTTTATGTGGACACTTCAAAATGGAATGATCGAAAAAACTGAACTTTGGAATGACACCAAATCTTAAGAAACAGACAAATGTATTTAAGCACTCTTAGGGAGATGAATGAGTTCAAATTAGATGTTGAATGTAAACAAAATTGTAATACGAGAAGATATTTCCAGAAGATTTTGTTAAATTCTTAATGAAATTGATTTCTTCACAACAGAATGAAACCTATTTTAAAAATCAGGTGCTAGAATTTTTGTGTGATTGTCTTAAGAGCTAAGGAAAATCCTACTCTCATTTATGAAAATACCTTAATAAGCTATTTGGAGTGAGATGTGACACCATGAAAGTATATAAGGAATAATATTTGAAATTATTGTTTGTGAAATGTGAAAATGAAATTGTTGAATAACTCTGTTCCAGAAATTGCTAACAAGGATACCTGATGCTGAGCTTTGACTGGCTTTAATCCAGGTATTAAAATTCTCCTCTTTGTCACCAGATCTTCCAAAAACTTTGATTCTCATATATAAGGGTAATCTTTTTTTTCTGAGAAGAAAAATCAAGGAAAGGAATGAGCTCAACATTTGCATGAATATTAGGGTAGATATAAAGGAACAGTAGCCAAGAATGTAATAAAGACAAGAATTAGGATTCAGAAATGACTCTAATTATAATGATCCCCTGCACACACACAAATGCACATCTACAAATTCTCAGAATTATTGGAGAGGCCATTGAACCTTCCAGGAGATACAAAATGGAGCTTAAAATTCATGTTTTCTAGATATTAAGGGTGAGGGAGTCCAAAGGACAAGTAGGCTACTTCTTTTTTCATGTATACATACTCACTGAAACAAAGTTTTTCTTTTCTAAAGATTCTTTGTTCTGGCACTGATCTTTTGAAGTAGGAAAATGCACTGATCCTCAAAGAAAAGAACTACTGATAAGATGCCTACTACGAAGGACTCAAGTACACTATGCCTCCAGGTCTGCTGCTCTTAAGGTAACAAATATAATTTTAACGATGTGGTATCTTTCTGGCTCCCACCAAGTGAATTCCATCTAATGCTGCAATTGCAGAAGTCAATCTGAGCTTATCTAGCACTTGAAATCCAGCCAACAGTGGACTATGTGACCTTCTCCTAGAAAGCTAGCAATAAGTAGGTTAATCCTATCATACATTAGACTCAGCAAATGGCCAGCGCTGTGGCTAACTTGGTGTGCTGGCACACCGGATTCTAGTCCGGGTTGGGGCGCCGGATTCTGTCCTGGTTGCTCCTCTTCCAGTCCAGCTCTCTGCTGTGGCCCGGGAAGGCAGTGAAGGATGGCCCAAGTGCTTGGGCCCTGCACCGGCATGGGAGATCAAGAGGAAGCACCTGGCTCCTGGCTTCGGATCGGCGCAGCGTGCCAGCCGCAGCACGCCAGCCGTGGCGGCCATTTGAGGGGTGAACGAACGGAAAAAAGGAAGACTTTTCTCTCTGTCTCTGTCTCTCTCTCTCACTGTCTAACTCTGCCTGTCAAAAATTAAATAAATAAATAATTTTAAAAAATTTAAAAATAGACTCAGCAATCATTAAGTGGCCAAATGCCACAAATGCTGTTCTAAGTGCTTCAGACACATTCCACCTCCTAAGAACAGCCATATAGAGAAAACTGAAGCACAGAAATGTTACGTAAATCACACAAGTCCTGCTGTGTCATGAAGCCTGAAGACTATCCCAAGCAACAGTCTTAAGATTTTTCTGTTATCTTAAGATTTTCCCCTACATTGAATTATGCTGGTCCTCCAGACTAAGCGTCTAGTTCTCGGTCATCACTGAAAAGTTCTTTGTGTCGCATTATTCCTGATTATTGTGGACCTCTGCTTCCAATCCTCCTTTCAAGATTATAACTTAGGGGGCCGTCACAGTGGCACAGTGGATTAAGCTACAGCTTGCAGGTGGGAGGGAAGTTATGGGGAGAGGGGGGCGGGGAAGCTATTGTAATCCCACTGCAGTGCTGGCATCCCATATGGGGCCGGTTGGAGACCCAGCTACTCCACTTCCAACCCAGCTCTCTACTATGGCCTGGGAAAGCAGTAGAGGATGGCCCAGGTGCTTGGGCCCCTGCACCCACGTGGGAGACCTGGAAGAAGTTCCCGGCTCCTTGCTTTAGATCAGCATAGCTCCGGCCATTGTGGTCAACTGGGCAGTGAACCAGCAGATGGGAGACCTCTCTCTCTCTCTCTCTCTCTGCTTCTCCTTCTCTATGTGTGTAACTGTGACTTTCAAGTAAATAAATAAATATTGGGGCCAAATCTGTGGCACAGTGGGTTAAAACCCTGGCCTGAGGTGCCGGCATCCCATATGGGTGCTGGTTCGAGTCCCAGCTGCTCCTCTTCCGATCCAGCTCTCTGTAATTGCCTGGGAAAGCAGTAAAGGATGGCTCAAATCCTTGGGCCCCTGCACCCATGTGGGAGATCTGGAAGAAGCCCCTGGCTCCTGGCTTCAGATCAACGCAGCTCTGGCCATTGCGGCCATCTGGGGAGTGAACCAACAGATGGAAGACCTCTCTGTCTCTACCTCTCTCTCTGTAACTCTGTCTTTCAAATAAATAAAATAAATCTAAAAAAAAAACTAAAAATAAATAAATAAATCTTTAAAAAAAAAAACATGCTTTTCTAGTTAGTTCTCCAGTACTAATTTTTTATGTGGTTACTTTTGTCATGACCCAGAATGAATAATATAGAAGTTTACAAACTTCATTTATTCCATTCCAAGACAATCCATGCTTCCTTTCCTCTGTTTGGTCTTTCAAAATATAGGACTTGAAATAAACTTAATGTATATCTCACTGCACTCATCTTACAAAATAAAAGAGATAATCCAAAAAAACCCATAAGCATATGCAATGTATTTTATATCTTAATATTAAATTAATAATAGTTCAGTACAGAAAATCTGATACATACAAAAACTAAAATTTGTATATGCAAGATAGTTGCAAATAGTTGCTCCTTAAGAAATTCTTCTCTTGAAAGCAAATATGGTGATGCCACATGTTAAGCTATTGCCTGGGATGTCCACATACTATATGGGTGTGCCAGTTCAAATATCAGCTACTCTGTTTCCAACCCAGCTTTCTGCTAATGTACCTAAGAGGCAGAATATGAAGGCCCAGGGACTTTTGAGTTCCTGCTATCCACATGAGAGATATGGATAGAGTTCTGGGCTCCTGAATTCAGTGTGACTCACTGAACAATGTTTGAACAATGAACTAAGATCTCTCTCTCTCTCTCTCTCTCTCTCTATGTCATCTGTCTGTCTCTCCCTCTCTCTATTACTCTGCCTTTCAAATAAATAAATAAATCATTTTCTTAAATTCTTCCCTTAATTATCCTAAAATTATGCATTTTGTTTTTATATTTGTAGCATAGTTGTGCATATATATATATATATATATATATAAAGCCAAGAAAAGTACAAACTGATGAAAGCAAAAATGTGATTATGCATGCCTCAGAAAGATATATTTGGCAGTTGCATATATAAAATTGAATTAAAAGAGAATCTGGAGTCCAGAAAAACCACAATAGAATAAACATAGGCATGAACTGCATAAAAAAAGGTTGATGCAGTAGAAATGAAAAGTAGGTAATAGGTGAGAGAAAAACCTCTAGTTAAACATCTCTGACTCATTCTCTTCCATAAAGTTCTGAAGGAAATTGGTCTAGATACACATTTGTCACTTTTATTTGAAACTTAGAGATAATCCCATATAAAACTCCATCACTTATTTTTCTTCAATTTTCCCATTCTTTCTCCTTCTGCCAGGTCTCCCTAATTCTAGCTACTAGGAAGAAAAGTTACATAACAAAATGAAATCTATGACACCAGGGTTGAGACTTTTGAGGATGCTATGTCATTATTTTGATCACTGTACTTAACTTGTATGATTTCCTAGAAATATCACCACACAATATCACACTGAATCACATTTTTAAGCTTCCAAATGTCAGATTGTTTTCTCCTTGGCTGCAACTTACTTCATATGTTCCATAGGTGTGGCATAAATACACTATTGTTTGTCAAAAAGTAAATATAAGCTTTCTGATCCATCATCAAATAATGCACTTGATTATTTTTCTAGATTTAGGGACAAATCTGGATTCCTCACTGGAAGCAAGAACAATGTAGTGTCTGCACTAAGAGACCTGCTAAGTGTGTAGTTTTTTTTTTTAACTTTTATTTAATAAATATAAATTTCCAAAGTACAGTTTAAGAATTACAATGGCTTTTCCCCCCCATAAGTTCTTTTTTTATTATTTAATAAATGTGAACTTACAAAGTGCAACTTTTGCATTGTTGTGGCTCCCCCCCGCAACCTCCCTCCCTCCTACGGCCCTCCCCTCTCCTACTCCCTCTCCCATCTCGCCCTTCATCAAGTTTCATTTTCAATCACCTTCATATACAGAAGATCAACTTAGTATACACTAAGCAAGGATTTCAACATGCTGCTCTCACACAACCGCACAAGGTATAGGGCATTGTTCGACTAGTAGTGTTGTTTTTACGTTTCATAGTAAAACACATTAAGGACAGAGATCCTATGTGGGGAGCCTGTACTCAGTGACTCCCGTTGTTGATTTAACAATTGACACTCTTATTCATGACGTCAGCAATCATCCGAGGCTCTTGCTATGAGCTGTCTAGGCTATGGAAGCCCCTTGAGTTCACCAACTCTGAACTTGTTTAGTCAAGGCCATATCACAGTGGAGATTCCTTCCTCCCTTCAGAGAAAGGCGCCTCTCTCCTTGATGGCCTGTTCTATCTGCTGGGGTCTTGTTCACCAGGATCTTTCATTTAGATTGTTTTTTGCCACTGTGTCATGGCTTCCCATGCCTGTGAGACTCTCATGGACCTTTTAGCCAGATCCGAATGCCCCAAGGGTTGATTCTGAGGCAGGAGTGCTGTTTTGGGCATTTGCCATTCTATGAGTCTGCTGTGTGTCCTGCTTCCCCCGCAGGGTCATTCTCTCCCTTTTAATTCTATCCTTCATTGTTTGCTTAGTGTGTAGTTTGTTAATGTATACTTGAGAATCACCATAACTAACCATTAGCAATCATTTTTAAGATCAAAGGTAAGGCTGACGTAGAATGGGATAAACGTTTATATCATGTTCTGTTAAGAGAACTTAATAGTTTCATTTGAAGTTTAGTATGAAACTTTACAGAGGTGAAATTTTTTATGACTAATCAGATGATTGTTTAGAATTCCTTGGTGCCTCCCACAGCACCACGGTAAGGGATAAATTTATACATGTAATTACCATTGTCTTTTCTTCAATTGACTCTCTCATACAACTAAGTTGGGCAGATTGGTCTCTGGGGAAGTGACACACTTTTCCCATTAGCCACTGCTGTCTGATGTAAACTGGCAGAGTACTTGCTTACTGTAGACTTTCCTAAAAGACAAACACTGAGAAAATCATGCTAACAGTGAGCTGTATCTGGGGAGCAAGGTAAAAAATAGAAAATTGTCAGAACTCATGTCTTCTCCTTCTTTTGGAAAATGATGGAGGGGAAAAAAATCCCAACAAACCAATTAACAAATTTCCTACCTCATTTAAAGAGGGCTGTTTGCAGCAGCTCCCTTCTATTCACTCAGCATGGGTCCCAGCCATCATTTTACTGTTTCAATGAACAGACTGCTTTTTATAAGAATTCATTTCACCAGTCTAAAGCAACTATATGTATAAGTTAATTTAAAACAATATACATGAATGCATGGTTAGATTTCTTAAGTTTTATCATAGGAAATAGCAGCCCAATGTGCAATTGGTTCTATTTAGCAAATGACAGGAACAAAGTTGTGATTACAATAAAGATGATAGAAAGAAATTTCATCTCATGATCTCAGTCTCTGAGGTTTTTTTTTAACTCTCTTTTGCATTTTTATTAAGGTCTTCGTATCAATATCAAAAAAAAGAACATTCTGGTAAGTGTCTGATTAATTTAAAATGTTT